TGAGATAAAGGGATTCCATTTGTACTTTTTTTTTCAATTAGGGATGCACCAAATGAATCTACCAAATTCGTCCATTAGAATACGTTTTTGGGCATGAGGTGAGAGGACCACTGAAAGTATTCAAAGAAAAATTGATGAATCAGAGTTCAGAGGCCACAAATTTGTGTCAAATAATAGGCAAAGATTAAATTGAGCAGATGAGTTGGCCGGACAGCGTTTAAAAGTAGCACATCATATGATGAAACAGGAAGCAGACAAGAAAATGACAATTTTGTCATTGAAGATAAAGTCTCAGTGTTACTTCCAATGATAGGTAAACCTTAAAAAGCAAGGTTTTAGTGGGCCTTACCAAATCAAAAGAAGATTGAGTGAGGTGAACTATTTGATAAGAACTCCAGATGGAAAGAAATCTCACAGAGTATTTCATGTGAATATTTTCAAACAGTATGTCGATAGGGAAGGAAAGCAAAAGGAGACTATATTACTGGTTCCAACACAAAGTGAAGAACCAGTTCAGGTGATTCTAAACTGGACATTCCCCAAACTAAATTGGACAATGAGGAAGTTCTCAAAAATTGGGATAAATTTTTAAGTTACCTTCCAGAGGAAAATCAAAATCACCTGAAAGAGTGATTACTATTACATGGGGAGGTATGTGGGAATAAGCTGGGAAGTGCTAATCTAATTATGCGTGATGTAAATCTAGGAAATTCAGTTCCAATTAAGCAACAGTCTTTTCGTCTTAACCCTCTAAAGTTGGCACAGGTTCAAATGGAGATTGAACACATGCTCAACGATAACATACTCAAAGTGAGATGCAGTGACTGGAGCTCACCCAAAGTAATGACACCAAAACCAGATGATACACATTGATTATGTGTGGACAATCACAAAGTCAGTGCTATTACAAAGTCCAATTTATATCCTATTCCATGTTTGGAAGGCTGCTTTGGGAAGGTGGAACAAGCAACTTATATTTCTAAGTTGGATTTACTCGGAGGATACTGGAAGGTACCTTTATCTGAAAAAGCGAAGACAACTTTGGTTTTTGTGACACCGAATGGACTATACCAATTTGAAGTCATGCCATTTGGTATGAGAAATGTGCTAGCCACATTTCAAAGACTCACCAATAATGTTATTTCCAGATTACCCAATTGTGTGGTGCATATTGATGACCTGGTGATTTTCAGCCACATCTGGAAGGAACATTTGCAGCATCTATTGGAATTTTTCATTTGACTCTGGGAGGCAGGGTTGGTGTTAAACCTAGCTAAGAATGAGTTCACCAAAGCCCAAGTCATATTCTTGGGCTATATTATTGGGCATGGACAGATGGCCCCACAGGATATGAAGATAAACATTAATGGGGAGTTTCCCATACCATTGATGAAGTGGGCAGTACTACAATTCCTGGGATTAAGTGATTATTATTGGAAGTTCATAATGAATTTTAGCAATGTGGTAGATCCACTGACTGACTTATTGAAGAAGTGCAGAAAATTTCAGTGGATGGAGAACTGTCAGAAGACATTTGACAGCCTGAAAACTGTGTTAACCACTGACCCAGTGTGAGCTACACACCTAATTACCATTCAAGGTGGCTATCGATGCAAGTGATGTGGGTGACACTGCTGTACTGTTGCAAGAAGACGGCGAGAAGATAGAAAGACCTATTTGGTATATTTCCAGAAAATTGAATGGTCATCAATGGAAATATTCCACCATTGAGAAGGAAACTTTGAGCTTGGTATTGCTGTTACAACACCCTTAAAGTTTTTGGAGAAATTTAAGGTCAAAAATTCCAGACTGTTTATATGGAACTTATTATTGCACTCATTCAATTTGAAAATTACACGCGTGGCAGGACAAGAAAATGTAATTGCCAACACGTTGCCACGATGTTGATGAAGAAAAATGGCAGAATTCAGTGGTGGGAACATATAGACCGAAATAAACTTTAATAGTGAATGTTTGCTTGCTGAGGATCAATGTTAGGTGTATGTATTGTAGTGTACTAATAGTGTACGACTAAGGGTTTTCTTTAAAAGAAGCCATCTTTGTACGTTGATGGGTTTTTTTTGAAGGGGGAGGTGTGACAATGTTATGGCTTTCATCGACGTCATCCTGGTTTCTTCTAAGAGAGAGATTGAATGAGAGGTACTGAGCAGCTTGTAGTATGTATACAGCTTGGGGTGTTTTTTCAAAGTTGGAACAAAACAAGCTGCCTGGCTGGCCAGCTTCACACACCAGGATTGCTAGCTTGATTCAACTTTTAGATTTGAGAGAAGCTGCTGGAGTTTTGAAGAATTAGAAGCTATTTTTCCCCTCTTTTGGTTGCAGCTCGAAGCTGGGGATTCTCTTCCTACTGCAAGCATTATATGTGAGAAAATCTAATTTCTGAATTTGCCTTTTTGCCAAGGGGTGTGTTTTTGGGATGTTACGATATTGGAACAGTTAATTAGTAATAGTCACTGTATCTATTATTCTGTTACTTTTTCAAATGAAATTAAGTTAATCTACATTTTTCTTGCTTTTGTTGCATTCTAACTATGGTGTTTGAATAAAGTGTGTTTTGCATTACGTCAAGCAGTTTGACCAGTCAAATCACGTGTGGAACACAGCACTTTATATTTGCATTTAAATAAGTAAAAGTTAGGGTCCAGGCTACCTTCTTAAAATATTTTGACGGGTTCTGATCTGATCAATAAAACTTATTACCTCCTGTACGATTTCCTCTGATTATTGCAATGTTTTAAACTTTGTTCTCGTTGTTTACTCGGTTCATCACAAGATTACACAGAATGAGTTGGGCTCTTGTGGGCAGTGGTAGTCTCCCAACAGGCCCAGTTTCACATTTCAGCTGCTCCAGAGGTGTCTCAATGTATCTGAACAATTCGATTTTAAAAATAAGTCTGCATCATGGGTGGGCCATGACCATTGGAATAATTCTCTTTTCTGTCCCTCCTGTTCACAATTCATTAGTTATCTGATTAATTGCTTATTGGCAAATAACCAAACTGCTACCATGAAAAGTGTTAAAGATCCAAGTTCTATTAACTTCCTCACTAGCTCCTTATATTTCTTTATTGCTTGTTTTCTGTTTAATTTATAAACTTTTTTTTTCTATTGTAAGTGCTATTTTGCTGTGATACACTTGATACGCTGTTATCAAATATATTTCCAGGTAACTATCTTCATTATTACTCTTCATTTGACCTGTCTACTCACACATACTATTTCAAGAAAATCAAAGACAAACTGGATCTGGCTGATGTGTGGCCCTGAGTCAATCTATTCCTAACAAAACCTCTTCCTGTTTGATGGTATATCCTGGGAGTAGGTGACAGTGGGTTCTCGGTCGACTGTGTGAATCCTGAGACTGACATATGCACACTTCTCCTCCTCATCCTCCAACAGTGAACCAGCCTCGGAGCAAAACTCAGCCTGGAACTTCTGACAGTTTTTTTGGTGAATTTCATCAAGACCAGCTCAGGGTGTGCTCCACCAGAGGAGAATATCAACTTGGTGTTAGTAAAACCCAAATCCTTAATTCAGCCTAATCTCCCATTTTCTGATGACCGAGATATGTGGCCCAGTCTGCATCTTTCTAGCTCTGCTTTTTAAATAAAAGAAAATATTAATCAGGTTTTGACATTGCAATTTTCATCAGTCATTTTTATGACCCTACATTTAAAAAGTTATAAATTTAATGTGTTGACAATTTTGATCACTGAGCAAGTTGCTCATGTTTTCTTCATAAATTAATATGGTTTCAACTTAATATTTAACATTGTGCCAAACTTGATCTCAAGCATCTGCCACTGGGTTTCTTGCTGTGAGGGAATGAGACTCACCAAAAGTCTGATTGCTTATGGGATGGTGGCGAAAACATTATTTTCCTCCAGTAGATTTGAGAATTGTTGATAATGCTAAACATGTCTGACAAAATCTATCCACACAGAAACAAGGGCCAGTGAGCTTTCTTCAGAACTAGTGCAGATCTTGAACCTAAAACATTAACTCTGTTTCTCTCTCCACAGATGCTGCCTGACCTGCTCTGAATTTCCAGCATTTTCTGTTTACATTTCAGCTTCCCATCTGCAATGCTTTCCTATCTTGTTATATGCTCCAGTGACATTTGTAATTTGGGGTACTTGCAAGATTCCAGTCTTTCAAATTTCACTGGTTAAATATTGCATAGGACCAGGTTCAATGAAACAGAAGTGCTTATATAATATGAACACTCAAGTTGTGTGTCATTGTCTGTCATAGCAGTGGTTATAAGGCGGTGAAACCTGTGATTTCAATGGGCATTATAAATAGAGAAGTGGTATACAAATGTGGTTAGTTTAAATTAATAGCAAGAAAATCTTTACCACTCAATGCAGAGTGTAATTTTTCCGTCAATAAGGCTCTCATCTGTCAATAGGAATAGCTCATTATTGCCAGGGAATTGGGTGATGCTAATTGTTTTGGAAGGTTTTACAATTATTAAATTTGAAATTGAAACCAGCATTCGTGGTCCAAGAGAACAGGTTGCTGTTACTTCAAGATATTCTCATTTTCACATGGGATTGTTGTTTGGGGTATATGTGAAAATCAAGTCTTTCAGATGTTGCTGTCCAACGATTGGATAGGGCAAAGTTTGAAGAGGGACCGGTGCTTCCATAATATGAACAACCAAGGTGTGTGTCATTGTCTGACAAAGCAGTGGTTGTCAGCTGGGTCATACTGAAAGTTGACATTTCAATGGGCTTTGTCCATAGAGGAATGAGCACAAAATATAAGATGTTTTGTTAAACCTGAAGAAAACATTTCGACCCCATTGTGTCTGAGGTGGGGTAAATGTTGGTAGTAGAGTGGTGATGGAAGTATGAACGCCTACTATGTTTCTCCGAGCCCTGGAGCTGAAATGTCAGTGTTGGGGAATGAATGAGGTATTGTGATGAAAAGATGAAAGTATAACCAACATGGAAATTCGACAAGCCACACCTTACCAGATGTCTGGTTTGTCCTCTTCATTATTGTACTCAAAATTTCCTTTGCTGTGCTTGCATGTCTGTTCACCAGGTTTGTGACAGAATCCCAGAATTTCGCATTGAAGGATTCTACCATGAACTGCTGGCTAGGGATGCACTGGCCGGTTTTACTGTCACCAGAACTTATTTTAATTCCATTGACCATTGCCATGTGCATAACCTCAGGAAAGTCTTGAATTCCAGAAACAGCTGTGTAAATCCCAGTGTGCACATTAGTCTCTGTAAAGCAAACATTGAAAGTAGCTGGTAACTGAACCCCAGCATAATAAACATTACATTAATGCACTTGGGCTCCACTGACCGTGACAACATCATAAATCCCAAGGGCGTCACTAATGTGAGAGACTAACTTTAAACATGTTATATCTATAAATCAAATATTAGGGACAGGCTAATAAACATTTACACACACTTCCAGCTCATCCTTATGAGGCTCCACCCATATGGTGCCAATCTGCAATAATCCACCACTTTATCACACTGTCAGATTCCTGTCTGATATTATGAACAGAATCAGATTGAACTGGGTCAGAATTAGATACTGCAGCCTCTCAGAACAGGGAGTAAACACAGAATCAGAGTCACAGAGACACTCAATGGAATCAGTGTGGACACAGGGGAGAGGCTGAGCCACAATCCAGGGACTGGAGTAGTAAATAGAAGATCGCCAACCTGAAACAGTAACTGGGTCACACCGATGCTATCACTAACCTGGAATAGAAACCTGGAATAAATTGAAGAGAAGTATTAAATGGACACTGCTAACCAGGGATTATCTGGAGTGAGGAATTCAGGATAACCTGAGGGCAGGTCTCTGCTTTCTGGTCATAACCAAGAAAGATGTGGAGTGAGTGAATCCAAATTGAAATGAAAAGAAACAGGAATATTTGGGAGAATAAAGTGTGAGACCATGGGGGAGAGTCACTGTGTGAACAGTCTGTCTGTCAAACAGGGGGATGGACAATCCAGAGCAGGATCCTCATTGTCCTTCACTGAGCTTTTTAATCACCCCTTTATACATGGTCATTAGGACGTTGGTTTCTGAGATAAGCCGGACTATTCAACCATAACGGCGTCACAACTGAATTGGGGGTGTTTTAAACATGGAGTATCCTTCTCCTCCCCGCAGTATTTACTGACTTTAGACCAGGACAGGTGAAGCTGTTTGGTTTCTCCCAATCGATGTGAAAATTAAAATTGTCCATTTGAACCATTTCCCATTTGCTCCGAGCTTCTCTGACCTTGGAGATTCTACATCCTGCTGTCAGGAGACCTGGATACAAATTCCATCAGAGTCTCCCAGACTGTGCTGCCTTCAATGTGTAAAATATCAGGCTGGCTGGATAACAGGCGGCTGGTCAAACATCCCCCATTTCAAACTCTCACCAAGAAATTCACGGTCACGCCAGAGAAAGAGAGAGACAAAGAGAGAGAGAAGGGAAAGCTAAATTCTGTACTTACTGGGAGAGACCCAGGAAAAACACAGGTCAGTGGAGAAAAGAGTCAACAGCATTCTGGGAATGCACTGTCCCTATTCAGGGACTGGTGTACTCTGAGCTACTGTTTCTAAACTGGAAAAGGCAAAAACATGCCTCTGGAGAGTTGATTTTCCATAAACTCAAATGAAATGTTTATGAGTGGAAACTGAAAGGAAAAAGATGTTTATTAGGACTTTGCCTCATTGAGCTTTGATCACTCCTGACTGGAGTCAAAGGCTGAATGATTGGCTTCACCTTACAAAAAGAACCAATCAAGTGAAAAACATTCGTTTGCCAGTTATCAGGAGAAACAAGTTCAGGAGTTCATTATCCGACTGCGATCATTTGATAATCTGAGCAAGGAACATGGGCAGGTCAACTGCAGAGACGTCGATTTAGAGGGTTCAGTTATTTCACTGATACCTCATCAAGTCAGGAACAACTGTGTGAATACAACTCCACATTACACCCTAATACTCCTGTTCATGTCACACTCCTCCCCACACTCTCTTGTCAGTGTGTCCCCCTCTTCTCACTCTCCTATTAGTCTGACTCTGTCCCCTCACTCTCCTGTTAATGTGTGAAATAATTACACGGGGGATGGTATTTTGTCACTTAGTCACCCATTGTGTGCATTAGCTCAGTACACAGCCAGCCAGCTCGAAGTCAGTCCCTGAAGCAAGGAGACTCTGAATCCCCTATATATATTTGTCAGCCAGGACTCCCTGATTGGCCCAGGTTAACAACCCCAATCGAGAATCTCATAGTCTATGGATCCACCTGGTTCCAATTACTATATCACCCCAACCCACCTCCCCACCATTCTCCCCCCCACCTCCTCCAAGTGCAGGGATGTAGGCCTGGTCTTTCTCTGGTATGCCTGGTATGCTTTTGTCCCAGGTCTGGTTCCTCTGAGTTGGATTCTGACACAGGCAGCATGTACTGTACCGTAGCCCACATTTTGCATCCAGAGCGTCTGTGGAGAGTTTTCTCTTCTTCTTCCAGTGGTAATGGTATCGAGGTTACATCCATCTCAGACTCTGACGTTTCCTTCACACTAGATGTATGGGGAGAACCCACTGTTTCTGACAGGCCTTCTGGCTGTTCTGAGGAGCCAGATGTGTTTTGCTCCTGCCCCGTTTGCAAGGTAACAGCTTTCAAGTGATTCACATTTTTGTTCAGGACCACCTCGCCTACCCAGACTTAGTATGTCATGGAACCTGTCCTTGTGTCGACCTCTTCTTTTATCTATGCAGGGCCATTTCCATGGGTTCGGGCCAAACTTCGACCCCCGGAAATAAACTGTCTCTCTTGCTTAGAGGAAGCATGGTATGTTTGCTGTCATTTCACCTTAACCTAGGTCCAGGAATATCAGGATTAACCTGGTGCAGAGTCCTCTCCCCATCAGCAACTTGGCTGGAGCTATCCCTGCAGTTTTATGAGGATCCTATAGTTGAAAAGGAATTGGGACAGTGTGGAATCAATTGACGCCGTAGACTTTGGACTGTACTTTCTGCCAGACCATTGGATGATGGATGGTATGGAGCTGTCCTTATATGCCAAATGCCAGTTGACTTTAGGAAATACTCAAATTCCCTGCTAGTAAATGACTTCCCTTTGTCCACGACCAATACTTCTGGGAGTCCGTATATCGCAAATGATGCTCGCAACTTTTCAAGCATCATCCCTGAGTTTGCCAAACCACTTTGAATGGGCATTCCCAATGACCAGGAATATCGAGCCCATGAAAGTACCGGCACAGTTGACTGTAGCCAAGTCTAGGGTTTACCCAGCAATTCCCAGGAATGTGGCAGCACCAGCAGCGGCAATTCATGTCCTTGTTGGTGTTCTAGGCACTGCCTCACCAATGTAGCTATGTCGCGGTCACCAGGCATAACCTCTTTTGGAAGGAGGATAAGCAGCTGAGGCATCTCCCCAAAGCCCCTCACAGTCAGAACACATTGGATATAGTTGGGAAGGTGCGCTGGTCTCTCTGGAAGCTTGGAGACAATGATATGGCTCTGCTGCTAAATCCCACACTGTCCCTCATCCTCAATTGTGTGTGCTCTGATGAGCCAGCAGCGAGGAGGACTGAGTGAAGGCTTTAGTGTAAAGCTCTCTCCCTGGCGGGGGTGCACTGATGCATCATGAGGGATGAGGAGAGGACAAACGCCTTCTCGAAGACTGGGTGACAGTTTTGTTCCATACCTCACACCATTACAGCTTCACCCCCGGGTGAATGTGCTGGTGCACCAAAGGGTTCAATGACTGGGTGAAAGTCTTGCTGCGCATATTGTTCTTGAAGGGTCTTTCCCCAAAGTGAGTGAGCTTATGTACCTGGAATCACAGAATCACACAATGGTTGTAACTTGGAAGGAGGCCATTTGGCCTAGAGCCACCATTCTGGCCCTCTGTGAATGTAACTCTGCTGGTTTTATTTCTCCAGCTTCTTCACTAGAACCCAGCAAATCTTTCCTTTTCAGGTAATTGTCCAAAACCCTTTTGGAAAGTGCAATCAAATCTACCTGTATTACACTCCTAAGTCCTGTATCCCAAATCTTAATAATTCCCACTGTAATTAAGCAACTCAATCAGGATTCAGTAACAGAATAGCCTCCTACTGTTCCTAATCTTCCAGTTCTTCAAACAGATTATAAAACGAAAAGGTTTAGAGAGGGTAGACAGGGAGATAGAGGTGAAGTAATTATCTGATGACCTTATCAAATGGCGAAGCTAGCCTCGAGGGTCCGAATGGCCTACTCCTGTTCCTGAATCTTGTATTCTTTTTATGTGACCCCCAGTTCTTTTGCCACTAACCTTAAGCCATTCCCTGATAAGTTTTGTTCATTGCACCCATGGGACCACTTTCTCATTGTATGTCCAACAGTCTAATGAGCACAGCACCTCCTATCAAACTTTCTCTCAATGTTCCCTTCTCCAAGGAGAGTAGTTCCAGTTCATAATCCTCCAACCCAGTTCAGTCCACTTCTACCTTCTTACAAAAATCCACAAACAGGACCGTCTGCACAGTTCCATTGTTTCTGCCTGATCGAACCCTCGCACTTATTCCTTCCTACCTTGGCTCGATTTTTTGCCCCCAAGTCCAACCCCTTTCTTGTACGCTTCATGTCAGTTTTAAAATTTCCAGTTTGCAGGCTCCAGCCACCTCCTCTTCACCATGGATGTGCAATCCCTTCACACATCCATCCCCTTCATCAGGACAGTCTCAGGGTCCTCTGCTTCCTCCAGGAAAAAAGGCCTGAACCGTCCCCATCCAATACCACTCTCCTCCGCCTGGCTCATCCTCACTTAGAACAACTTCTCCTTTAACTCTTCACACTTTCTTCAGGTCAAAGCTGTGGCCATGGCTATTCGCATGGGCCCCAGTTAATCCTGTCTTTTTGTGGGGTTTGTGGAACATTTCTTGGTCCAGTCCTACTTGCGTCCCTCCTCACAACTCTTTCTCCATGACATCAATTACATCATCAGTGCTGCTTCCCTCTCTCTTCCGGAATTCGAAGCTTTCATCAATTTTGCTTCCAGTTGCCTCCCCGCCCTCACTTTCACATGGTCCATCTCTGGCTCCTCCCTTCTTTTCCTTGACAGCTCTGTTTCCATTTCTGGGAATAGACTGGCCACCAACACACTGACTCCCACAGTTACCTCAGCTGTATATCTTCACACCGTGTTTTCTGTCGGGACTCCTTTCCAATCTGCCAGTTTCCCTATCTCCATGATATCTGTCCTGATGATGCCACCTAGCACAGGGGGTCTTCAGATATGTCCACCTTTTGCATCAACCAATGATTCTCCGCTACCTGGTTTGACCCATCTCTTGCACTTCTGTCCTCGCCCCTTACTTGCCCTACCACAACAGAGATAGGGTCCCCCTGTTTCTCACCTCGCACTCTACCAGCCTCCATATATCCAAAGGATCATTAGCTGCCATTTCTGTCACCTCCAGTGGGATGCTACAACCAGACACATATTCCCCTCCCCTCCCTGTCAGCATTCCGCAAGGACCAATCCCTCTGGTACACTCTGGTCCACTCCTTCGCCATTCCTTCTCACACTCCCACAGCACCTTCTAATGCAATCACTGAACACTTTGTATTTACCTTCTCCAAGGTCCCAGACACACCTTCCAGGTGAAGCAATACCTGCACTTCACTCAATCTAGTCTCGTGTTTAATGTTTTAACGAAAATCTGTAGCTCAGGCTGTGGTTGGAGTTACTGGTTGGTTCGTCGAGCTGACTGTTTTTTTTTGCAAATGTTTCATCTCCTTCCTAGGTGACATTGTCAGTGCTATGTAGCCTCTGTTGAAAGGCTGTTGTTCTGTCCCGCTCTGAATTTTTACAGTCCGGTCTGCGAGAAACACTACATAGGACAGATGGGCAGGAAACTCGCCACCAGGCTACATGAACACCAACTCGCAGCAAAACGGCATGACCAATTCTCCCTCAAATCAATACACTCTGACATAGTGGGCATCAATTTGACTGGGACAAAGTTACAGTACTAGGAGAAGCAAGACAAAGACAAGCATGAGAATTCCTGGAGGCCTGGTTTTCGACCACGGAAGCAATTTCTTACACACAGATACACACGTATCAACATGTCTTCAGAAAATGGGCTTCGCAGTGGGATTATAACAGTTGCCGTTTCGGGTCAGGACCCTTCTTCAGAAAACTAAGGGTCCCGACCCGAAACATCAATTTCCCTACTCCTCTGATGCTGCCTGACCTGCTGTGTTCCTCCAGCTCCACACTGTGTTCTCTCTGACTCCAGCATCGACAGTTATTACTATCTCTGAGTATCAACATGTCTTGTTCCCTGCCTGCTTTTTCTTTGTCTGATCAGCCCAGACCAGTTCTAATATTGATGATTAAATGCACTACATACACTCACATCCTCACTGACTGACTATCGATGAAATGGAAGAGATCTTCAGAATCTCCATGTAGTGGAAAGATGGAGGAGAGTGTGGGAATGAGGATTTCTGACACAATGGCCATTCCTTCGCATTTGTTATGTTCTCACTCTCTGACAAGG